GCAAGCAAGCAAGCAAGCAAGAAAGAATTTCTCTTATTTTTATGTGCCTGTATGTAAGGGAACTACATGTATGCCTGGTGTCCTCAGGGGTCAGAAGAAGGTGTTGGATCCCCAGTTATTGACGTTATGGATGGTTGTGAGCTGCCATGTGGGTGCTGGGACTTGAACTTGGATCCTCTGCAGAAACAAGTGCTCTAAACCAGAGCCATCTCTTCAGACTGAAAATAAATCTTAAAACAAACAAACAAACAAACACCCCAATGACTTTTTTCTTCATTTTTACATTATAAAATTTTTAACAACTTTTTGACTGTTTTGTAATAATAGGCTAAAATAATACACATTTTTTTATATACAGGCTACAACTGTATAAAAATGTCTTCTTTCTTTATAACCTCACTTTCTGTTTTGAGATGTGGTCTCACTGCATAATCCAGGCCAGCCTTGAACTCATGACAATCCTTCCTCAGCCTTTAAATACTGGGATTGTGAAAAGTCAAGCAAATACCACCATGGCCCACCTCATTTCTTAAACAAAACAAAACCTCTAATTTTTTTTTATTTATGTGTCTGTACCTATATGTACATGTGTGTGGGTGATCACAGATGCCTACAGAAGTAGTGTAGTTATAGGCTGGTGAGTTGCCTGATGTGGATGCTGGGAACTGGTTCTGTACAATAATAAATACTCTTAACTATTGAGCCTTCTCTTTAGCCCCAAAAATGTTTTTGTTTTTCAGCCAAGTATGGTGGAGCTTGCCTGTAATTCTAGCACAGGGGAAGCTGAGGTAGAAAGTTCCAGGTCACCAGTGCTACAAAGTAAGGTCCTGTTTCAGAAAAAGCCCAAGATACCAAAAAAAAAAAAAAAAAGGAAGGAAGAAAGAAAGAAAGAAGAAACAAGAAGCAAAGAAAGATAGATATACTTTATCACTTTTTTTCAGCTGGAGAGATAGTTCAGTGCTTAGAGCATTTGCAGAGAAGCTAGTTCAGTTCCCAACAACTATCTCCAGTTCCAGAGGATCTGATACCTTCTGCAGGCCTCCAAGGACAGCAAGCACACATGTAGTACACAGACATATGTACAGGCACTCGTACATATACATACAATGAATAAACCTTTAGTTGCTGCAGAGATGGCTTAGTGGTTTAGAATAACTTGAAAAATGTAACATAGTTTGCTTCCAAATGCTCACATGCTGCTTAGAACTATTCATAACTTAAGGTTGAGGGGATCTGGTGTGCCCTCCTGGCCTTTGCAGGCATCAGTCACACACACACAGTGTGCACACGGTATACACACAGGCAAAGCATGCACTGTTTTTATGTTTTAATTTTTCAAGACAAGGTTTCTCTGTGTAGTTCTGGCTGTCCTGGAACTCACTCTGTAGACCAGGCTGGCCTCGAACTCAGAAATCCTTCTGCCTCTGCCTCCCAAGTGCGGGGATTAAAGGCATGCGCCACCACTGCCCGGCCACTCATTGTTTTAAAAAACGATTTTTGTTTGTTTTTCAAGACAGGGTTTCTCTTTGTAGTCTTAGCAGTCCTGAATGAAACTTATTCTGTAGACCAGGGTGGCCTTGAACTTGAGATCCACCTGCCTCTGCCGCCAAGTAGTGGGATTAAAGGCATCAGACACCCTACGTCTGCAGTTACAGACAGCTGTGAATCAAACCCCAGTTTAAAGAGCAGCTGGTGCTCTTAACTGCTAAGCATATCTGCAGTCCAATTTACTAAGTCTGTGTTCATGAAGAGGGAGTGAGTGCATGCATAGTAGTTAGTAAGAGACACTTTGTGGCTTCCAGGGATTAAACTCAAGACTTCAGGCTTGGCAGCAATCACCTCTGACCTCTGAGCCATTTCAGCCACCCAGCTCAAACTTCTTTGAGGCAGGGTCTTGTTATGTTGCCCAGGCTCCTTCATTTGTTGGACTCAAAAGTCCCTGCTTCAGCTTCCTGTATAGTCGGGACAAATCGTGTAAGCCACCATGCTGAGCTAATAACTTCAAATTGTTAAAGAACTCACTAAGATCGACAACGACAAGAGCTTCTTCAACTATATGTTCTCTAGACAAGTGGAAGGTTTCAGCTTTATAACCGTATGGATTTTAATCATAATTGCAATGTGCTCTTCACAGAAAAGTTATTATGTGGTACGTGACTATTCATGACCATTCTATGATTTTTGCCTGGGTTCAATACCCAGACTACTGAAACACAAGAAAACAAAAACCAAACCAAACCTAAAGACAAATCAAAACTCCAAGAAAGCAACGATTCAGGCATACACTCTAGTCTGGATAGAGGGCACAGTAGGAGAGTTCCTGTGTTTCAGTTTCTTCAACTCAAACACAAGAACATGAGAACTAAACGAATTAATCTAGAAAGTATCTGAACGACTGCTGAGTGCTCAGCAAGCTCCTTCTAGGCACCAGCTATCAGTAATACAGCTTCCAGGTAACTTTTTCTAAAACAGTTTAAAATACTGGCCGGGCGGTGGTGGCCCACGCCTTTAATCTCAGCACTTGGGAGGCAGAGGCAGGTGGCTCTCTCTGAGTTCGAGGCCAGCCTGGTCTACATAGTGAGTTCCAGGACAGCCAGGGCTACACAGAGAAACCCTGTCTCGAAAAAAAAAAAAAAAAAAAAAAGAAGAATAAAAAAAAAAAGAAAAATGAAAAGTTCTTCCAGAAGCTCCAGAACCTTCAGATCTAAGTGGCCTCAAATCAACTACTGCCTAGGGCAATGAAATACAAGAACTGGTTTGGAGTTTACACTAATCCAGAGTAAGATAGCCAGTACCCACTAGAATTCATTGGGTTGAGGTCTTTGCTAGAGATGGTCAAGAATAGTTGCACCACCAACACAGGCAAACAGTATAAAAGTCAGGCCCTGGGAGCATGCACGTAAGAGGCAGTGAAGTACACTAGCCTCTGGGTGAAGGCTGGCTGTATTATAACCAGTACCTAACGGGCCTAGATTGCTAGCCTTGCACTAGTTACCTATCTTCTCAAAGCATCAATTTACTGTTGCTAAGGGGATTATCCAAACTACCAAGGACCAAGCATTGTGATTAAATAGATCCTTATATTAGTCTGATCACTGAAGTTGAGCTGGAAGTTACCTCACTCTACATACTAAGAATTCTTTCTAGGACCTTGGTCAAGTCTAGTTCTTGCACTGAAGAACTTTTACATTCTAACAGAAAAAAAAATACTAACTACCAACTTAACACCTCAAATCTTTTTTTTTTTTTTGGAGACAGGATTTCTCTATGTAGTCCTGGCTGGCCTGGAACTCAGAGATGCGCCTGTCTCTGCCTCCCAAGTGCTAGGATTAAAGGCGTGGGCCACCACACCCAGCTAATACCTTAAATCTTGGAGGCTGATGTGAAGTAAAATGTGAAAGAATCTTGCCCCTGGCTGCTGCGTATTAGCTGTTAGCTTCTTTGAGACTGTTTCTCAGTCTGTAAAAATGAATCTCACAGATGATGGCTTTCCCTCCAGGGCTCCAGTTAAGCTGCTAAATCAATCTATACTTCCCCGAGGATCTGGAAAGTAGAGTGCTTCAGGGAAAAGAACCACTGTACTGAAGGTGGGAAGAACGCCATGTTGTTTGGGGAGCTCTTCCTAGAGACATACTCCCTTCCTAGAGACGTGAAGGCTCAGGCATGGAGGAACGTAGGGTTTGTTGTGCTGTGTTAAGACACCTTCTCTACACACAATTTTGTTTGAAAATTAAGTAACAGGATGAGAGGTAGCAAGTGGCAGGCCAGATCTGATTCTGAAATCACTGGAAGAGAAAGTAAATTATGATCCTTCAGAATCAGAGATTATAGCAAACTCCAGAAATGCTTTTGGAGCCCTCCTCCTACAATAGGTGGGGTCAGCAATTCACTCTGAACTTTTTCAGTTTCATTCAGACTAAAGAATTCAAACTGCGCCCATAACAAAACAACTTCACAACTTTATGCAGGGTTAAAACGGTCCCCTCCTTTTATCCCACCACTAGAGGGCCAGGCCATAAAAGGCACCAGTTAATTCCTAGGGCTCAGGGGTGATCACCCTGGTTTAATCACTGTGTGACCTTGGGTAAGTTACTTTACCACTCTCAGCCTCAGCTTCCCCATCTGTAAAACAGGAATAACAACAGCACCTATCCCACTAGGTTGCAATTAGGTTAAACTAAGCACGTTAAGCATTGACAATGATGTCTGCACGTACAGATTAGCAAATTTAAAGTTTTTCACTTTACTGATGCCAATAAATTACCGATGCTGGTTTTGTTTCTCACTTCAAAGACCACCAGCATATTCTTTTGGGCAACAGCCTTCTTATCCAGAATCCGCTTTAAAAAGATCAACAGGTCTCTCTTAAGTCTCTGACCTGTCTGTGCCAAGAAGTCTTGGCTTTGGTCTTTCGAACACTACGAAGGCTGTCACTGAGTCTAGCCGAACCACCCCATTTCTGCGCCGACTGGGACATTTTCCTGGCCTTTAAAGGCCCAAGCTCTGCTGGACCCAGCCTGCCCTTGGATACTGGTCCAGAGCTAGCCTGCCCTGCGTCTCCCCTCCAGAGGACTCTACCCTCTCCGTAGGCAGGTAGGACTTCACCTCGTTCAGACGCGCGTCGGCCAAATGCCCATGGAAGCAGGCTCTCCGCGGCGGCGTTCAGGCCTGCTGCCCGAAGCCCGGCCCCCAGCTCCACAGCAGGCGCAGGGCTAGAGGGCAGGGCTGTGCTTACCCCGGGAAGCGCGAGCTCCGACCCGGGGCCACCACGTGGGAACACCCCGGGGCGCTAGCTGTCCGGAACCAGTCCCGGGGGCTGCTCCCCGTGCGGCCCTTACGCCGGCCCTAAACTGGCCTGAGGGGCACTCCCGATCTGCCTTCTCCTCCCATATCTATCTGGATGCTTCAGACATCTACTTCAGACTAGAGACAGGCCCTCCCCATACCCCGCTCCCCAACACCTCAGCCCGAACACTCATCTGCTGAGCCGCCTCACTCACCCATCGCGGCTCCGCTCGCTCAGACTTGGCGGCGGCCGCAGCGGTAGCTTCAGCGGTAGCTTCGGCAGACAATATGGCGGACCTACAGGACGGCGGCCTGACGGGGACAAACGTTTTATACCGTGCTAAACGCGTTCTTAACCCTCACGCCCCCTTCCCTCCAAGGATAGGCGCTGGTTTAAAGAGAACGCAGCCACTAAAGATGACAATTAGGGACGGAATAGACAGACAAGGCTGGAGGGAGACTAGAAGGAATATGTACTGAACAAAGAGTGCCAAGATCTCAACTGTTTCTGTTTTTATTTCTTCTTTATGGTGAGACCTCCTTTCCCAAAAATTCTTTATAATTAAGCCTGAATAGACACTGAACTAAATAAGGAATTATTTAGAGCAAGGAAGTGATTCCTTCAAGGTTGTGGAGATAAGGAAAAGAAGTGAAGATTAAACTGGGGTTTGATTCTTGTTTTTGTTTATTTGAGACAGGATCTTAACTATGTATCTCTGGCTGGCCTGGATCTCTATAAACCAGGCAGACTTCAGACTCAAAGAAATCCACCTATCTGCCTCCCAAGTGCTGGGATAAAAGGCTTCCAGACCTGTTGTTTATTTACGGGAGGCAGAGTTTCAGATATACCAGACTTGAACTCCAGATTGTCCGGCTTCCACCGTCCCACTGCTGAGATCACAGGTGTGTGCTATCACACTAAGCACAGTTTGTATGGTTCTCCAGCAAAAGGGTGTGTCGGGATAGGGGCTGAGCCCAGTAACCTTTTAATGACAGGGATCAGTTCTATATTCCTGAATAGTATGGCCACCACCTTTCAGTGTCTGAAGGATAGCTATTGAATGAATAAATGAACAAACAAATAACAGGTTAGTATCTTCCCTTTTTTTTTTGCCTTTTTTTTAAAGATTTATTTATTTTATTTATGAGTACACTGTAGCTGTCTTCAGACACACCAGAAGAGGGCATCAAATCTCATTACAGATGGTTGTGAGCCACCATGTGGTTGCTGGGATTTGAACTCAGGACCTCTGGAAGAGCAGTCAGTGCTCTTAACCACTGAGCCATCTCTCTAGCCCCTGTTTGTTTATTTTGTTTGTTTGTTTGTTTGTTTTTTGAGACAGGGTTTCTTTGTGTAGCCCTGGCTGGCCTGGAACTCACTCTGTAGACCAGGCTGGCCCCAAACTCAGAAATTCGCCTGCCTCTGCCTCCCAAGTGCTGGGATTAAAGGCGTGCACCACCACCACCCGGTAGGTATGTTCCCTTTTCTAGTGATGAGGACCTTGAAGCATGTGCCTTTTGAATCAAGGAATTTGGGGCTGATGCTTATTAGAGCTCCTTATTTTGCATGATAGCACTCCAATCTTCCACATCAACACACAAAGCCGGGGTTCCATCCAATCTTGCCAACTCTACCCAAATGCCTGCCTGATAACGGGAACCAACTCAAAAGTCAAATTCTATGACTTGAGGGAAAGGAATACTGCTTAACTTCCTCAGTCATCACAATAATCTACCTCCTATCTCACCTATCTCCAGGCCCGATTGTTCTGCCTCATCTGCCTTTACAAACCACAACAGCAAGGACCAGAGAGACAGCTCAGCAGTTGAAAGTGCTTCTGGCACTTTTGAATCCCTGGAATCTCTGGTGTACAGAGATCTCCAACTTCTGAAATTGCATGCTACCTCTGCTCACATGCTGTCAACCAAATGTATCTGTACACACACGCACACAATAAAAAAAAATTAGTGTTTGGACTAGGGGTTTAGCTCTGTGGTAGATACTTGCCTAGCAAACATAAGTATCCTGAGCTCTGGAAGAAAAAAAAAATATGAAAAAGACCAATACAGGCCGGGCGGTGGTGGCGCACGCCTTTAATCCCAGCACTTGGGAGGCAGAGGCAGGCAGATTTCTGAGTTCGAGGCCAGCCTGGTCTACAGAGTGAGTTCCAGGACAGCCAGGGCTATACAGAGAAACCCTGTCTCGGAAAACAAAAACAAACAAACAAACAAACAAAAAGGTAACTAAATACATTGTGTAACCCTTTTCCTAGCAATTTCCCACTGGCTGCTCTTAGGAATTCCAATTCACATTTCCATCCGGCATGCTGGTTCTTGGGCCACTTACCAATAGGAAATTCGGACTCCAACCATGCTGAGGAACACTTTTTCCCAAGCAGGCTATCTTCTCTGCGTCTGCAGAAGCAGTTCCCACTACTTGGCACGCAGTTCCATCCCTTGTCTTGTTTGACCCTGTAGTAAACCTTTCTTTGAAGATCTAGTTCAATTATCAGTTCTTCTGAGAGACTGTCTTCCCTGCCAGGGTATCCGTCCTCTCCGCTCTGTTGTTTTGTTGAGACAAGGTTTCTCCGGGTAGCCCTGGCTGTGTGTTCTGCATTTTTTTTTTCAGCATTCCCTACTGGTTTCCTTTGGTTCCTATCTCCCCATCATCTAAGGAAAGGAGAGCTCTTCCCCATCCTCATTACCCGAGTGTACCTCACAGTACCTGCTTAAGAGAGACACCAAACTCTCTAGTCTACAGCTCACCCTGCTCATCTCCATATCCAGAGCAGAAAGGCTCAGGTGTGCGCGTCCCTTTTCCTTCCAGTGTTCTATGTTTAGAGGAGCCAGCTGACCCTTCCCACTTATTTTTCTTTCTGTTCTAGGACACAGCTTGCTCACAATCACATCCTCCCCCTTCATCCAGCTTTCCAGAGACCTTCCATTTTCTTCACTTTCACATGTCAGAACCACATTCTGGCTCCCGATACACTAGTCAAGTAACCCTCTGATACTTCACTCTCACTGGACTGGCTTTCCTCCTCACACTCACCTAGTGACCCCAGCAACCATAACTATCACCTCAGAAGCACCTCAGAGTTGCAATAGGCTTCCAATTGTGCTGCCTTTTTTTTTTTCAAGAAATACAAATTTAAAAATTGCCTTGTTTGGGCTGGAGAGTTGGCTCGGTGATTCAGAGCACCTGCTGCTCTTTCAAAGGACCAGGGTTTGATTCCCAGCAAATGGGAATCAGAAACCATCTGCAATCCCAATCTTGGCAGGTTCAATACCCTCTTCTAACTTCCAAGGGCACCAGGTACAAAATGGAACATATACATATATAGACAAAGCACTCATATACATAAAATAATAAAACTAAAGGTATGTAAAAATCACATTCATTTAATGTGTAGAGAGCCTAGAGGACAATCTACAGGAGTCAGTTATCCCCTTCCAACATACTGGTCCCAAGGATGGACTTGGTTTGTCAGGGTTGGTACAAAGCGCCTTGACCCTCTGACCCATCTTGCCGGCGCTCCCTCCCCAGTGTAGCAGTATCCTGGCCTGGCACCATCATCTTGTACAGGGCAGGGTGGCAGTGACTACATGCTGGAAGAACCTTCTAGAGCAATAGTGTCACCACCTTTTAAAGGATTGTTTTTTTAATTGCCAGCTCTATCACTTTGTAGCCATGTTACCATGAGCAAATCACTAGAGCTCCAAGTTTCAGTTGACCTGTAGGAGTGAACAGACACAGCACACATCTTCCTAGGTCTGGGATGGCCTGGAGTAGTACACACAGCAGTATCTGTACACAAGTGACGTTCAATTAGCAGAAGCCACCAGAGCCACCACGGCCACCACGGCCTCTGGGATCTCTGCATCCCCAGCTGCTGGAGAAGGAGAGCCATAGGAACCACAGGTGGAGCTTGCTAGTTCACAAGCCCACACCTCTGATTGACAGGCAGGGACAACAGAAAGAATCACAGGACACAGGCTTGTTCTGAGTATAAAAATAAGACTTTTTTCTTCTTATCACATCAATTATCAAAGAAAGAAACAGTACGTAACAAAAATACAAAGCTCTGGTGGGTTGTTTTTTTTTGTTGTTGTTTTTTTGTTTTTTGTTTTTTGCACTCCTTCCCCCAACCCCAAGAGCCCTTGGCCAGGAAGCCCCTGGGTGAAGCCCAGATGTTGTCTTGAGGATCACCCTGGGATTCAGGAGAGCCGGTGGTCCAGGTCCCTTTGTGGGCTGGCTGAGTAAGAGTAGGCTTTGCCTAATACCAGGCGGTCCCGGAGAAGCTTGAAGAAGGCATAGTAGTTGCTGAAGAGGATGAGGGCCAGGGAGATGGTCTGGTGCCACTTCTCTGAGGACATTAAGGAGTACAGCTGGTAGACAATGACGGCGCCCTCCAGGAGCAGAAGGATGTTGAGGATCCTCAGAGGGTTGCTGAAAAAGAACTACCCAAGAGAGGGTAGGCAGAGGCCAGAGGACATGCTCCAGAAACCTGTGTCTTGGATGAGGAGATCTTGAAGCATGGTGAAGGGGACAAGATCTTGGGGCCCCCGTGTACGTATGTGAGTGGGGGAAGACAGACAGGCACGTCAGAGGTGGGCTCGGCCACATCTGCCTTTGCTTGTGCTGCACCACTGCCTCCATGTAAGCCATGTAGGATACTCGAGAGAAGCCTTTCCTAAGGGCTTACATGCTATCTCAAACTCTTTTTTTTTTTTTTTTTTTTGTTGTTGTTTTTTCGAGACAGGGTTTCTCTGTTGTAGCACTGGCAGTCCTGGAGCTCACTCTGTAGATCAGGCTGGCCTGGAACTCAGAAAACCGCCTGCCTCTGCCTCCCAAGTGCTGGGATTAAAGGCGTGCGCCACCACTGTCTGGCGCTATCTCAAACTCTTTTTGGCCTAAGATCAACTTCTTTTTGTTACCAGGCTGGCCTTGCACTCACAAAGATGAGCATGCCTCTGCCTCCTGAATGCTAGGATTAAAAACATGCACCATCACACCCGACCCAATGGTTTGCTCATGCCGTCCGTCCTCTGGAGTATTGTTGGGCCTGAACAAATCAGAATCTTTTTTTTTTTTTTTTTTTTGCTGTACTAGGGATTGACCCTGGGTTTTGTATGTACAGCAGACTTTAGCTCAGCAAACCTTACATCAGCAGCATGAAAAGCCATTTATTTACTTTACTTGCTAGGCACCGAAAGTATGGAGAGCTCATACTCAACAGCCTGGATACCTCGCACCTCCTCCCTCCTCTGTAGCATCCCTTCCCGCCATGGAAG